TATCTACTTATTATTAATAATAATAAATAATAATTAAATATTAATAAGGGTTATAATTATAAAAACTCATAATAAGCTTCAAAAACACCATTCCAAGTAGCGTTTCAATAAGCTACCTTATGATAATCCAAACATGTATCTAAAAAATAAGTTAGCTTATAAGCTAGTTCATTTCTGCCAAACAATGTCTTATTGAAATATCACTCCAAGTAGCATTTCAATAAGTTAGATTATGGTCATCTAATATTTTCTTTTTAAAATAAATAAATAAATAAGTTAGATTATAGCTGTCAAATAGTATCTTAATTCTGAACATAATTTTGCATGTTTAAAAGATGTTTTCCTTCAATTATTATAAATAAATCATTGATAAACAATAAACTTTTTATTATTTATTACATAATTTTTCCAAATTTTAGAAATATCCATAGAAGTTGCTTTGTCAATATTATTGTAATATGGAAATGTGGATATTCTACTCGTTATTCAAGCCGACTAATCCTAAGATAACCACATGCTTTCGGGTAGTCGGAGTCACTGCATTTGAACATCCGTGGTCAAAGCGGATTTTTATTTCTTCTTGGATTTGAATCTGGAACCTTCAAACGCTTTTAACCTTTGAAGTCCAAGCTTAAATCAATCAGACATTATCTTTGTGATTACTATTTTTACTTTTAATTTTTTTTTATTTAAATAAGCATTGATAAAATAAAATAATAAAAATAAATTGTTTCAAAGATATTCTGTGAAAAAAAAAAATTGAAATAAAATAAAATAATTGCGTCATATTTCTTATTTTAAAAGCTAAAACTTAAATCTTATTGGTTTAATATTTATATTAGTGGATATTATGGTTGGTGAAAAGGTTTTATTAATTATGACTTAATAAATAAAGTTATTAAATTTTATATAATAAAAAAAAGGTAAAATGCACAAAATAGCAATCTATTTTCATAATTTTTTTTATTATAGCATTGTATTTTCAGTTTTTCTTATTACATCAATGTACTTTCAAACTATTTTTTATTAGGACATTGTACTTTGAAAATTTTTACCCATTATAACAGCATTGGGTAACCTTCTGATTTTAATTTACCCATTATACTATGTTTTCATGACACCTCATTGTCCACGTAGGTTGTCCACATGTACTATAGTGATGTGGCTTTCTTACTACATTATTGTACTTTTAAAATTATTTTATTATAGGATCTACTAGTTCTTATTAAATACTGTATTTTTAATTTTGATATTTTTTTACATGTTATTTAATAAATGTATTAAATGAATTAAAAATTTTTATAAATTATCCATTAATATACGAATATCAATAAAACTAGTAGAACACAACTTATCTCGCTAATATTTTTAAAAAAATATGTGTTTTAAAAAAAAGAAAAATAAGAATTCTTCTTTTTTTACCAAAAAATATTATCTTTTAAAAAATATATTATATTTGTTCAAAAACTTTTTACTTGACGTATAAATATATTAAATTAATTAGTTTTTTTTGAATTATTTATTAATATAACAATATTAAAAATTTGTAGAACACAATTTATTTCGTTAACATTTAAGAGAGAACTTTAAAATATATGTATTTTTTTTAACAACATAAAATAAGAAGTGTTACCTTTTTTTACAAACAAAATATATATCGAAAATAATGTAGCATATTTATTTAAGAAATATTTAATTTGCATGCAACTTAACAAGAAAAAGTCAAAAAAAATTAAATGTTTTTTTTAAATCATAGCAATGAAAAATGAAAATCACTAATAATAATTTGTGATAGATTTTTATTTTTATTTTAATTAAGTCATCAAAATGATGTTTTATTCACATCACATCATTAAAGCTACACAAGCAAAAAAAATAAGAGGTTAACCGGTTTAAAAGGTAACAAATTATCTATTGCTATAATGAGTAGATTTTATAAAGTGTGATGCCTTAATAAGAAATAATTTAAAAATACATTATTATAATAAAAAAAACAAAAATAAATACTATTAAAAAAAATTATAAAAAATTTTATTATTTTATACATTTAATCCTAAAATAAAAAAAATTGCATAATTTTTGGATTAAGGGTTTATAGTACGATGTAAAGCCCAAAATAAAATCTACAATTTTAAACCCACAAGTTTACATGATCCATCATCGTGTACACCTTTCACTTCCATTGGTAATGGAGTATTGTAGGGTTTCCCGCCAAAAAGTTGGAGCTTTCACTGCAACCACCCTTCCATCTCGCCTTTCCCTCTTTTATTGATGATATACACTGAAAGACAAGATAAACCCTAACCCATCTTCATCTATTTCAAAGATTCTCAAGACTCTAGTTACTACTCGAACCAAAAAATATGAAAGGGGGAACCCTTCAGATCAATTGGCACGACACAAAACCTGTTCTAACCCTCGATTTTCATCCCATTTCCGGCATTCTCGCCACTGCTGGTGCCGATTACGACATCAAGGTTTTCTTTTCTTTTTCTATTTTTACAATTTTTCCTCTGAATCTATGTATATATGTTTGTAGGAAGCTAAATTATCGTTTGTCTTCCGGATCGCCAATTATATTAGTATAGGATATGTATGGGTTAGGTTTGTTTTATTGGTATGAAGAGTGTGAAGTTTTATTTGTAAATTAGCTAAGGGCCTGTTTGGTTTGATGGAATGTTTTTGAGTGATTTGGATTTCATGGAAGGATTTGGAATTGGAAGGAATATTTGGTGTGTTCTGTTTGTAGGATTTGGAATGGAATTAAATTGTTTTTAACATATTTTAAAAAATTATTACAATCGAATTTTATGAATCTTCTGAAATACCAACTACCCCATGAGATTTAGTTTGTGGGATTTCATTGAAATCCCAGACTTTCTTTTAAACCAATCTCTGGATTGGAATGGAATCCAATTCCAAATCCCCCAAACCAAAAAGGTGATGTGGAATTCAGAATTTTGCAAATGGAAAGTTCTTTCCAACCAATTGTCATTTGATAGTTGAAATGGAATTGTGCAGCTGTGGCTAATAGCTTCTGAAGCAGGGGAAAAGAAAGTTCCTACAGCTACTTACCATAATAGTCTTTCTTACCATGGATCGGCTGTCAATACTATCCGGTTCTCTCCTTCTGGTATCACTCATAATTCCCCCAATTAAATTTATGCATGTACTTTAGGGCTATTTGAGTATTTACTGTGCCAGATAATGGAATTAATGAACAGAATAAGAGAATGACCAACTACTTAAAATTATGTATTTGTATATTTTTAAGCTTTTTGTCTAATAATATTTTGATCGTCTCAAATATATATACATGTGTGTGTTTTGTTCAAGTAGTAAGTTAAATGCTCTAAGCACTAAGCTTGGAGTTCCTTTGTTAGTCCTGTTATTGTTCATGGAATCCATACTAGGAATAGTCATTTAGCCTTTGAATTGACTTATGCTTTTTCTTTTCTGGCGCCATCAAATGCCAAACCAAACCAAACCTAATATACCTAGTGTGTCTCCCTCGAAGTAGGGTCTGAGGAGGGTAGGATGTACATGTACACCAATCTTTTATCTACCTCTGGGAGTAGAGATGTTTTTTCTATGAAGACTCCCCCCCCCCCCCCCCTTGTGACAGTTTTGAGAGAAGCTAGTAGTTTCATATTTAAGACTTAGAAGATTTTGAAGAGCATGAGATGGTGCACTCTAACTACCTGGAAAGACCCTCTTTCCAGACATCCTAGGACACTGTTAACCTATCTGTCAGCATTCCTGGGGCAGCCCGCCACTTTTACCACCATGCCTTTATGCGGTGTGTAACGTCATCCTTGACCTTTCCCTCCTTCTGAATCATGGAGCCTACTTGAAAGTTGAAACTATTCTTTTTGGTATCCTTTGCTTCCCAATGTTTATCTCTACCCCCTTGTCATCATGCTACTTGCTGAAAATGCACCAGAGGTTTTCGGTCTTAGAGCGACTAATGCGCAAGCCTTGTGCTTCCATTGCCGCCCTCAACTTCTCCAACTTAGCATTCACCTGCTGTGAGTATTTAATTTACTCTTGAGATGCTTGTATATTATACATGTTAAAGTAAGTATTTTCCACATTGTTTTTTGCGACTCCTGTACTCTTAAATTTTGTTAAAAGTGTTCGTGCCTATAGCATTTCATAGAATTTGATGTTATAATTATAATTTATATCTGCTGTATCCATCTTGCTTCGTTTGTTTGTTATATATGTATCAAGAAATGTAATTAAGTTATCATGTCTTCACATATGACAATAAGTTGGTGATGCTTTATAACTTGATACTCCATCCCTCCCATTCCAATTCCATGAACAATTTTTTCAATATTATGGATCATATTTACCAAAATCATCTTGCAAAAAACTTGTCGCTCATGTTTTCAAATGCAGTGCAATTTTTATAAATTAGAAGTTCTAAGAAGTGACATTAGAACTGCTGCAATGTTTAACCACTTGGGTTGTGGCGCACCGGTTAAGCCTCTGGGTTGTAGTGGAAAATCTCAGCTACCCCGGGTCCGAATTCAGGCGCTGCCAAAGCCCTTGTGATCGTGGAGGTTCATCTGCAATGACTCCACTCCATTCGTGATTGCCTGGAGGATTAGTTGGTGCACATAAGCTGGCCCAGAAACCCACAGTTAACCAGAAAGGAAAACTGTTGCGATAAAGGGATCTTGGAAGAAATTGATGGACAGAATCAAACTCAAACCTTCATTATATTTTATTTATTCAGAAAGTAATCTTAAGAATTTCTACATCGGAAGTGTACATGCTAGTGAGCGTTAAATGGTTCCTGCCGGGACTTTAGTCTATTTTATTCTTATATAGTTCTCTCTATGTGATACATGCAGGAGAGCTGCTTGCTTCTGGTGCCGATGGTACGAGCTATTAACTTGATTTAATAATACATTTTCTTTTTCATTCATAAAGAAGACTATATGGCTTCATTTCTTATTATTGGTAGGCGGTGAGCTGATAATATGGAAGCTGCACAATAGTGATTCTGGTCAAGTGTGGAAGGTCCTCAAGACATTGTCGTAAGTTCTTTCTTTCTGCATATGCACCTATATGTAATTAACGCCATTTACGGAGAATCCCCATTTAGGATTGCCATTAGTCAATCCAATTAATGTAAAAAATAGCCATATGTGGTCAGAATGGCCGAAACTAAACAGAATGGCCGAAACTATGCAATTTACCACGATTTTTTAATGAACATTCAACTCAATAGAACAGAAAAAATATTTTTGGGTTCTGCACATTGTTTACATTTCTGTACCATTGGGGATACCGAGTGACAAAGCTATAGTTAAAATATTTATGTTATTGAACATATTCTATAGGATTGTTGCCAAATTGACTAGGGACTATGTTGTAAATAATGAGAATACCTATAGCTTAAGGGTCTGCTGCTTCTGGGATGCCATGATTGATTGATAAAATTGACATACAGTTTAGATATGCCTAATAATTACATTTTTTAGTTAACAAAATGACAAATTTACCCTTAGGTAATTTCTCTCTCTTCACAGCTCTTAACTATTTGTGCATTAATTAAGGGTAGATCTCTTCACAGCTCTTAAATATTTGAAACTATACACTTATTATGGGACAACCATAAATAGAAATGTAGAAACTTATTTTGGGGTGGAGGGAGGGAGTGCTTTAATTGCAATACCTAACTTCAAGGATGGTTCTCGATCTCGTATACTCATAGTTGAAGCAATACTAGACAGGTTTCACCGGAAGGATGTGTTGGACTTGGAGTGGTCTACTGATGGTGCATTTCTCATTTCTGGATCAGTTGATAACTCATGCATCATATGGGATGTTAATAAAGGTAAGAAAAACGATGAATGCTGAAGCAAAATATATCAAGATGCAACTCTAGGTGATTGTTTGATTATCTTTGTTTCTCTTCAGGKTCTGTCCATCAGATTTTAGATGGTCATTTTCATTATGTTCAAGGTGTAGCATGGGATCCCTTAAACAAGTATGCTGCTTCACTTAGTTCAGATAGAACATGCCGCATATATGTCAAGAAACCACAAAATAAAACAAAAGGAAGCGAGAAGCTAAATTATGTTTGTCAGCATGTTCTCGCGAAAGTGGAACCACAAGTGGTAGAAGAATCTAAGGTCAGAAGCAGGTTTTTACTACATAATTATTTTTTGTAGTTGCAGTTATTGACGAGACACCATAATTCATGCAGTCTGCCAAACACCATCTTTTCCATGATGAGACGCTGCCATCCTTCTTTAGAAGATTAGCCTGGTCACCTGATGGTTCTTTTCTTCTTGTGCCTGCTGGTAAGAGACAGCCCATACATACATATATATATATATATATATATATATATATATAGAGAGAGAGAGAGAGAGAAGTTCAATTGCAAACCCTTTTTCTGTTGTGAAACTGGGAACAAAGGAGAGTGCAACCCGTGTCCCCATAGTTCACATTCAATATGAATAACATGAACATTCATGATGAATGTTTACACAATCCATGCTAAATGATAAACCATTCATGATCCATGTTGATTCTTTACACTATTTATGAATAATGATGAATGATGCACCATTCAAGATGAATAACCCGTGGCACGCTCTTCTTTGTCCTCCAGTTCACAATGGAACTTAGGTTGTTAATTGAATCTACCCCTAACCACAAAAAAAATTCAGAACCTTGAAAATCTGTATATTCATTAATGCATATACACTGATGAATTTCAAACATGATTCTGATGCAGGTTCTTATAAACTCTCACCCACTTCAGAACCTGTTAACACTGCCTATGTTCTTTCCAGAAAGGATCTTTCAAGGCAAGATATGCTTATTTCTATCTCTCTCCTTGTCGGTGCTTTTGTTAATCTGTATTTATGTAACTTTTTGATAGTCTATCTGTCTATATATATATATTTGTATACATCGTTGTTTAGGGCGTGTGTTAGTTTTAAGTCTTCAAGAGAAATCCTCATGTGGAATGGGAAGTGTTGGTACTTGATAATATGTGCAACACCTTCTCCAACTGGTTTAAGTTTATTACTCCCTCAATATTCGACTTTATACATCGTCTATCAGAAGGCTTCAATTATTCGTCAATTATCTAAAATACCCTTCAGTAAAAGACAAAATAAGAGAATCTTGTGGACCTGGATCTGTTTTAGAAACTATTTCTGTAAAAATGATGGTGGTCAATTGAGTAACTTATCTTGGAAATTTTCCAAATAAGGAAAAGTTGCAATTTTCATGGGATGGAGGGAGTGTATTATTTATGGATTCACCTTCAAGCTAGGAAATCCAGCCATCTGATTTTAAATTAAAGATCTTTCAATATTAATAAAACTACCACATTTTCATTCTATATTCATGTTTCATTGTTCGTGTGCTTTACAGGCCCGCTTTAATGCTCCCCGGTGCCAACAAAGCGGTTGTAGCAGTGCGTTTCTGCCCTTTGGCCTTCAGCCTTCGTGGGTTGACCTCATGTTAGTTTTTATGAGTTAGAGCCTTCTTTTTACATCTTCCGATATTATTTTATTAATCAGAAGTTTTGTTTTCGTGTAGCTTCATCTTTCAAGCTCCCATATCGCTTGATCTTTGCAGTTGCCACACTAAACTCCTTATATGTATACGACACCGAAGGCGTTGAGCCAATAGCAGTTTTAGCCGGACTTCACTATGCAGCCATAACCGACGTTGCATGGTAAAGTGTTCTTGCAGCATACCATGCTTTATACTCCCTCTTCCCAAAATAAACGGCCACTTTTAAAAGCAAATGTCTGCTTTCCAATTTTACCTTCGTCATGAGATGGAGAAGTTCATTACTCTCTCTATTATAAGGGTAAAATTGTCATTTAGTTAATTAAAAAGCGTAATAATCACACATTTTAAAACTCTGTTTTTTATGGTGGACATTTATTTTGGAACAAAGTACTTTATTTTAGAACTGTGTTAACTCATTATTCCAAAATTTCCATCATTTTTCCAATTCTACCCTTTTCATTGATTCTCTATTTTTTTTTTCAAAATTTTGATATATTAGGTCACCCACAGCCAAGTTTTTGGCACTTTCTTCCCAAGATGGTTATTGTACACTCGTAGAATTTGAGAACGATGAGTTGGGATTGCCCGTCTCTTTATCAGGTTCGATCCAAATCTCTTGTTATTTTAGCGTCCCTTCTTGCTTGTACTAAATTCATTACGTATTGTTGTTGGCAGATAAACTAGTTGTAGCTGATCAGAATACAATCGTTGTTCATGATGTGGAAAAACCTGAAGAAATGATAAAAGAGAAGGAAATTGTTAATGCAGATACTCGGGAGAAAAAGGAAGTGAATCCAACAGGGAAACAAACGTCACCGAGCACGACACTTCCAAGTAAACCAGCCAAGCGGCGCATTACCCCAATGGCCATCGGTTAAGGAGGTGTTTGGTCGGTTAATATAACATTCCTCGTAAATTGAGGGAGTGACCGTTGTTTCCATTTTCGTTCTGAAACGAGTCAAGCGTCCCCTAAGTTTTTGTATCTTTTGATATGAGATTGAAGAGTTTATTGTAGCTTTTTTTCGATATAATTACTTGTATGATATGTCAGAGGCCAAACAAACGTTTTTGCATTAAAATCCAAGTTGGTTTCAAAATATATTCAATTTCAACAGTTTTTTTAATTTTGGAGATTTTAGTATTAAGATAAAAAATTGCATTTAATACCCTAATTTTTTTTAATATGGTTGTTTTCAACCTCTTTTTCCTTAAAAAGTTATTTAGAATAAATGATAATTCTTTTTTTATTTATTTTAAATAATGGTTTGAATATTCCTTTAAAGCTAAATTTTACTACATTTTCTTTTAAATACCTATCCTTTTTAGTGTAGAAAAGTTGTTGGAGATGCTTTAATGTTCAAAATAGCATAACTGACAATCATGCATACCGAAAGAAATAAGATACATATATTGGTCTCTCTGCATATACAGATATCGGTTTTTTGGCATCTTATATATGCAAGGTTCTTAATGACGTGAGGTGTGGAGTTGTAGCGAGATCACCCTCAAGCCTTACGAGTTAAGGTGATGTCACAATTTTTTTAAGGCGTGCCCTAAGGCGACATAATATATATATATATATATATATATATATATATATATATATATATATATAGAGAGAGAGAGAGAGAGAGAGAGGCGGATTACGTTGCAAACCGCTCAATTCATGAAAACTATGCAAACCACTTTCGAGTAATAGAAAAATTCCGTTTTTTTATTTAATTTTAATAAGTAAAGATATAATGGTCATTTCATCGTATATTGATTAATATTGGAAGGTAATAACTATTGTTAATTATGGAAATGTATTAATGGAAACGTTTCATATGTAAGAAGGTAAATCTTTTTTCTTAATATAATTTTTTTACCATTAAATTTTTTTATTATTTTATTAAATTATACTTATTAAAACATGAATTGTAAAAACAGTAGAATATGAAATCTGTGTTCGTTTCATTTCTTGAAACAGTTTCATTTTTTGATTTAATGAAACAATTTCATTAGCGGTTATTGAATTAGTATTGAAACAAAAAAAATAATGAAAAGTTTCATTTATTGATTTAATGAAACAAAATCTTTGTTTTTGTATTCAAAATGTTTCATTATTTTTTGTTGATTATAGTACGTTTTATATTTCATAATTTATTATGATATACCTAATTCATTGTAGGTGACAAAAAATGAAATTATTTCACAGAACGAACTCACGTGACTCCTTGTCACCTACAATGAAAGACGGATCGATTGTCATATAGTGTTGAACGATAATTGCAAACTGTTTCATTAACGGTTATTGAATTAGTATTCAACGATTAATAGTTTTTAATCAAAATAATTTTAAAACAAAGGAAATCCTAATACACGATGAAACATATAAAGAATGAAACATTTTTAAAAATTTAATGAAACATTTTGAAACTGAATATTTTTTAATTTAATGAACGTTTTTCATGCATAAAACATTGCGAAATATTAATAAATTATATTCATCAGTGAAATTGTGTTCATGGTCACTATTGAATATGACATTCGTTTTATTACTCAAAGTACATATATTTTTTCAATAAAACGAACACAGATTTCATATTTTACTGCTTTTACAATTCATAATTTAATAAGTATAATTTAATAAAATAATAAAAAATATTAATGGTAAAAAATTATATTAAGAAAAAAGATTCACCTCCTTCTATAAGAAACGTTTTTATTAATACATTTCCATAATTAACAGTAGTTATTAGGATATACCTAATTTATTGTTGGGGATTTGACAAATTTGCCCCTTTTTTAATTAAAAATTAAACTTTTTTAAATTATTTCTTAATATAAACTTATTTAATATTGACCATTGATGGAGAAAATGGATGAATGAGATTGGTTTGTAAGGTTTTCACAAATGAGGGTGGTTTGCAATTGATCCCTCTTCTCTCTCTCTCTCTCTCTCTCTCTCTCTCTCTATATATATATATATATATATATATATCTGTGTGTGTGTGTGGCCTAATCAAATGAGAACTGTTTTATTTTTGGTAACCGTGAGATCCAATTTCAACTACAAATCAAAGGTTAAATTAAGAAATTAATAATTTTAGTAATTTTAACTTAAAATATTAGTTAAGGGCATTTTAGGGATTTTATAAATATCCTCTCTCATCTCTCCTCTTTCCTTTTCCCGACGAATCTTATTCGGCAAACTTTATTCCGATGAACCTTATATGAACACAAGATATACAGTGTGATACCTACAAACGATATTCATCCAACTATACATATAAGATGCACAATGTGATATCCTTTGTAAAACAATGAAAATAGCGAAAATGTACACTATAATATATTTCATAAAACAAAAAAAATACATTATGAACGTTATCACTATGATACACTTTGATTCACAAAACGTTTTTAAAATACGATGTATATTAGGTAATTGATATACCAGGTAACTAATTTTAATTAAATAATTCTTAAAAAATTTAATTAAATATTTTGATTAGTTGTCAAAAATAGAATTACTATATTACCTTTTTAGTTTATTTAAGAAATATATTTAAATATCTCAAACGAGTGGTTCACACTGGATCTCACGGTTATCACAAACTAATCAATTATCTCTTGATTGGGCCTATATATGTGTGTGTGTGTGTGTATATATATATACATATATATATATACACATATATATATATATATGTTGGTTATTATACAACCCTTGACATTTGTGCAACCAATACAACCCAATCTCAACCGTCCATTTCATTTGATGAATATGTGATTTCATAGAAGTTTTGATTGTTTCCTAATATAAAGTATTAATCATAATTAATGAATTCTATTCATATTACATAAATATTCAAATCATAATAAATGAACTCCCATCTTTTCTATAAATATCTCAATTAATTGGGTTGCAAGGGTTGTACAAATACACAAGGTTGTAAAAGAAATATACCCTATATATATATATATAAGGGAGAACTCGGTTGTTTGAGATAACCGTGAGATCCAATCTCAACCAAAAATCAAAGGATAAATTAGGAAATTAATAATTTTAGTCATCTGACTTGAAATTTTAATTAAAGTGCATTTTAGGTATTTTAAAAATCTTATTTCTCCTCTCTCTCCAATAATCTTATTCCGGCGAACACAAGATACACAATGTGATACCTAAAAACTTTGGCACAGTAAAAAAAAGTGTGATATCCTAAATTCATACAAGATACTGAATGTGATACCATTGTAATAGCACTTAGATACCTACTATGATAACATTCTAAATATGGATTAAGATCATATCTAATACAGGTTTTAAATCATACATAACCACTATGATACTGCATTAAGCATTAAGATTTGAAGAAAATGGCGTAATGCTTTAATTGTGGATGTGAAGAAAAAGAGAATGGTGTTGATGGTGCAGCAACAACAAGAGAGTCAACAAAAATAGGGTTTAATGAGTTGACAACAAAAATTAAATTACCAATTTACCGTTTAATTTATTTTTGTAAATAAATACAGCGAGACATATTTCGATTTTAATGTTCTATTTTATTATTTGTCTCTGTCGATGTTAGAATACGATTTTATGTGTTTTTAAGAAATCAATAATGATTTTATTTTTAAATAAAATATAAATTTGAAGATATCATGAAAAATTGAAAAAAAAATAATGTTAATATCAAATCAACTATTTAATATTCTTATTTTTTTATATAATTTCTTTAATTTATTTTTGTGTTATA